AAAAAATATGCAAATCTAAATCTTGGGGCAAACCTAACATTGACGAATTACGTCATATTTGCATAGTTAAAAAGCTCTTAGTTTAAAACATCAAGCACCTATACTAATTTTTGCAAAACCGGGTCAGTTCCCCGACACGGATTTTGAAGTCCGCTCCAACTGGTTCCGAAGATGCCGTTCGAAAACAGACTGAAAAGTTTAATCGGTTTTCACCTGAGAAGAGTAGACAGATTCCTCCTTTCTCTTTTTGTGTTAAATGGTTCTGTGTGGAATTAAAATGTTTTGAAAACAAACTTTTCATTTTAATACAAAATATTTTCCAACGCTGCATCGATACAATTTTTTCTCACATTTTCACCAAAATAAAAGCTTATATAACATTTATAAATTAAAAATTTAATTGGTGCGTTTTAAATCGAGCATCAAAGTCAGTAGAAATGTTCCGAACATTTATAATAATCGTGAATTGTATTTGAAATTTAAACTTTTTTATTTTAGTTTAATTTTTTGATAGAAACGTTTAAAATGTTGATAAACGAAGTATTAATAAATAAAGAATAATGATGTCACGTGAAAATCAACCGTTAAGTGCTAAACGATAAAATTCTTAAAAGTTGAAAAAGTTTGGTGCTGCTCCATACACTCTGTTTCTTGGAACTGACCGAATAGAGTTTTTCGTGTCTTTGAAACGTTCTCCAGATTTAATTGATTTTTTAAAATTTAAATTTTTTCTTAAAATTAATTGACGTATTACGTAAGTGATTAGTGACGTTATACAATACATTAGGTCCACAACACTTAGTTTCTATTAAATTATTTTTAAATCTATGAAAGTTTTCATGAATCTTAAAGTATGATATTTGTTGACTCATGTAAAACATAAATTACTCGGAAATATTATCCGTATGTTAAAAAAAACATTGAAAAGAAAAAAAAAATTTTCCCCGAAAGATTTTTGAAGTTTTTATCATTTAAATGCATGAACTATAGTAAAACTGTTGCTAAGAGAGCACACATTTTAAAATATGCTATAGCCGACTAATATCAGCTTTTAATTTAACATAAATATAATTCATTTATGCAAAGTGCCAAAAACTTAAAAATGAAAATACAAACGAGTCAAATACATCATCAAAAATAAATTGATCTTTATGATTGAAATGCGTGAATCACAGCTCTTCTCAATAAATGAAAGTACAAATTAAAAAATATTATCTTTACTAACATCAGTTATTTAATTCTCGGTAATACTCGAATATCCATCTAACAGAGACGTTATGGAAATAATTATGAAAGCTAAAAGAATCACGAATATTTTGAATACATTATTGTAGTTTTCGTAATTGAAACAACTGAATTAAGATCCCCCCCCCCCAAAAAAAAACGNAAATGTATTTTTTTGAGAACTTATATATTTTGTAAATATTAGACAACATTTCCTTTTATTTTATCACTTAAGCAACATTTTATGACTTTTTTTTGTTTGTATTGTTTTTACAAAGCGATTACTTAAGAGTATTAAGTCGGAATTAAAATTACAATAAAAATTAATAAAAAAAGGTAAGGATTTTGATAAAAGTAACATTTTGGACAGTTTTATGACAAATAAATATCTCATTTGTGTTAGTTTTATGCAATATTTTATACAATAACTAAGAATAATTCTGAAAATTTTATCATATCTAATTAATAGATTTAAAAACATAATTGCCTAACATAGATTTTAATTAATAGATTACCTATATTTCTATGTAAAATCATTTTTTTGTTAATTATTGAAAGCTCGAGTACCCAGATTATTTGCTGACTAATGCTAATTATTAATATATCTGTAATATTATTAGAAAAAAACTTCAGCATAAATAAGAACCAATTTATTTTGATATTGAAATTAAAGACGCGTAAAATTTTTTTGTATGAATCTTAATTGTTTTCAAATTAAGAAAGTATAAATTCTAAAACACACCAACTGCTAATTGATACCAATTATCATTTGTTTTCAGACAAATTTTATTTGTTTATCACATAAAAATAATTTACTAAACTTACCCCGTTTACTTTTATATAAACACCATCTGATTTTCTGCGGGACTTCATTATTAGACCTACGACCTGCTTAACTTAACACTTCCTCTCTAAAAGAGTTACTTTTTTACCGAATACTGACATATAGGTCACTATTACCTAACTATATTCCATAACCTTCGCTTTGGCCCTTATCCGGTTTCTAAAAACGAGGGCAATACGATGGAGATTAACCATCGAATTCGCGCAGTCAAAACAAAAGAAAATCAAAACAAAATGAAGGCATTATTTTTTTTACGATATCGTTTTCATTTTTTTTCACGCGGTTATACGGTACCGTAATGACTTTTAATGCATGAAAAAGCTAATTGTGGTTGTTTAGAATGAAGAAATAATGTGTTTTTTTCCCTTCACTTCTTCTCGCTTGAGGTAATTTGTAAACGATCTATAAAAAATCACTGTTCGCAGAAAACGATTTTTTTTCAATGTTTTGTTCTATTGGTTAGTTTCCATGGAACAATTATCATTAAAACTTTTTTACATTAATCATTTTGAAATGAAAAAAAATATTTGAAAGACTAGGAATGAAAGTTTGTTAGTCTTTAAAAATAATGACTGTTTTCTTTCGCTTAAAAAAAATTGTAATTTGATTGTTATGAGGAAATGTTGAGTTGTTGCAAAAAATCTTGACACTTAAAAGCTTCGTAAAATAAGAGTCGTAAAATAAATAACTAAAGAAATGTTTCTAGCATTAAAAGATTTCAATTATGACAGGAAATTGTTATTAAATGGAAATAATTCATTGCAAAATAATAATAATGATATAATGAAAAAATTATAACATAAGATTAAATCAAATGTTTTTATTAAATAACGGTTCTAAGTTAAATAACGGTATAAAGCTCATTAAATAATGGCTCGAAGTTAAATAACATTAAATAACGGTATAATTCTCATTAAATAAAGGTATGAAGTTAAATAGCATAAGAACCGGCTTTACTGTTCCAAACGTAAAATATATTACACACTTTAGTATGATCATGATCAAACGCTTTTGTTAACAAACTTTGTTTAAAAAAAAGAAAGGCCACTAGGGTATCACAAGGTCGTGATACTAGTAATTTTCTAGTGAAGATAAATCACCGATAGGACATTAAATAATATTAAGATGATTTAATAATATTATTACTGAATTAAAACCTAAATAAATGCTACACTACAATGAAATATTATAAAATTAGGGCTTAAAAACTATTAATAAACTATGAGTTGTTTGACTGAAATGGAAGTCAAAAAAAATAAAGGATTAAAACACTTTAAATTGTACATAAAATAGCAGAAATTTAAACGCGTTGGTTTTAAAGTGGAAATTTCAGTCAGATTTTCCCAATAAATATTATTATATTAATAAATAACAATAGCAATTAACAGTGATTAATTATGAGTTTAACTTAAAAGTTAGATGTTTTTTTTGGTTATTGACTGCTAAAACATATTAAAAGTTAACATGTTTTTAACAGTCAAAAACCTAATAACTTTGCGGATATAATAGTGTGAGCTGACGAAGAAATTATATTTTTTCATATTTTTGTTTTTCGACTCTTTAATATATATATTTTTAAATTTTTTTAGATTTGTTTTTGAATATATATTATTGGCAGATAAAACAATAAAATTAACTTACTTTCAGTAAAGGAGTTTTCATTTCTAGCGAATGTTTGTTTCAGCATTTTATCATAAATTAAAAAGCAAAAAGACTATTTGGTGAAAGGAAGGCATTTTTAGAAAACAAACTTTATTACTCTTTCTTAAGTCTGCCTTCCTTAATCTGCGCGAGTTTCTAAACATACACCACGTGAAGTTTCAATGTTTGAGCAGCTTCAGAGATTAGATGATGTTTATATTTACAGATGCCGGTGATAAAATAAAATAACACGCTAGGATAGAACTTCAAATTGTCGTCCATCATCGTGCAGTTTTAACACTTTGACGTCAAAACTGATGAATCTGAGTCGAAGGTATTTTTCCAGGTGTCGGAATTTGACGCTGCTTGACTCCAAATTTAAATAGTTAAAAGTTTGATCTTGTAGATTTTACTTTAATTTATAACCGTCGTTGAGCTGCCGACCCAACTTGAGTTTGCACTTAATTATATATTTGTATGCTCAATTTCTTAGCCGTGGCATTTTAAACCCTAACCAGAAGACAAGAGAACTCCTGGATCAAGTGCTGGGTGAAATTTGATTTGGACTCTTTGATGAGACTAAAGAGAATTTGCGTTACATGGAGAGGAAAAACCACGAAAACTTCCTACAGTTAGCCTGATGCCAAGGGGATTCTAACCCTTGATTCATCTACCACTGATGATATTTTAAGTTAGCTCAGTGAGAGGTACGAGCTGGGTGTGGAATTCATATCGACCAGCCATGGCTGGGATTCAAACCGAGATCATCTCTCTCTATCCTCTAAGCCACAACCGTTTTAGATACTGTAGGTTTTTTTTTAAAAAAAAGAAATTTTGATAATTAGAAAAAGAGTTAATTTTTAAAATTATTTAATTTAATAATACTAATAATTTCCTAATACTAATAATTTCCTATACTAATTATTTAATAATACTAATAATTTCCTAAGGAAAATCCTAAGCAAAATCGCGATACTAATAATTTCCTATGTCTATTTAACATGAGGCCTCCTCAATTTGCAACATCTCAGAATTAGATGCATTAAAATACATTCCAGAATTACATCAAAATAAGCTCCCGTATTTTGCAAATTTTTGCAAATCAAATCCAAGCAGGTCTCCAAAACCTCTATAGTTCTTTAAAAGGAAATAAACTTAGAACTTTTTGAATAAAAAATATATTAAATGTCACATTTTTGGACTTTATAATTTCCCACACATAGTAACAAACTCAATTTATAGTAGTTTTTAAATACAATATACATAATAGGTGTTTTTAAAACATACTTACAGCTTTTTGGAGATTATTTTTCAGATTTTTAATGTTTTTCTCATTGGCATCCATATTAATAATAACTCTTGATTCATATTTTGATTCTTTTGAATCAGTTGATTGGTATCTCGGTCTATCACCAGAGTTTTTTATTGAAATATTCTCTTTGTTCATATCCATGGCACTCTGTACTTATAGATTAAAAACGATACTTTAATCGGCACCAGTATGATCAAATTTCACAATAACTAATTTATAAAAGGTATTTAACCAATTTCATTGTTTATTCACTTTCGAAAGAGTTTTTAACAAAATCCGCAATTGCAAACGATTTTTAAATCAATTCCAAAATTCATTTTCCTGCAAATGATATGGAATGTTTTGACTTGTTCACCTAACTTAAAAAATTCCAATAATTTTTAAGTTGCATGAAGAAAAAACATGAATCATTATAAAATGTACAAAAGTAATTTTATAAGTAATTCTTGATTAAAAGTGTCGCTCGAAATCGTTTTGAAAAACGCATTCTTCCTTTATCAGTCGCTAGCACGTGGTTTATTTTATTTTAGTTCTTTGTTATGTAACATTTACACAGAATGATATGTCATTCAAAATTCTATTTATTATCGTTTCCTATTTAACTTCAACAAGTTGGCACATCCATTTTTCTTTCTATTCTAATAAAACATAATGACTGATTAGATAATGACCTACATATAATAACGAGTGTACTTCCGTAACTATCTTAAAACTAGGAAGGAAATTGATAATCTTTAGCAATCACTTTTATCAGTATGATATTTTTACTTTGTAAACTCTTTATCTAAACTATTAATTCACGAAGCATAGCAGTTCGCGTTTTTAATTTTTTTTTATTTTATATTCATAAAGAAATTTGTAATCGTAACGTACTAGAGTAATATAATTCATTAACGTTTTAAAATAATACAGGATTGTATAAAGTAGTACTAAAAACCATACCAATTTTGATGCTAAAATTTTAAATAACTCATTTTCACTAAAGATTAAATAGTGAAGGGGATTATCTTTCCTCAGTTGAAAAAATAAGTTAACAGACTATATTGTATTATTTATCGTTTTTATTTTTAGTTTCCCTGAATTCTGAATTTATATAACTAAAAATCGTCTGTTCTATCGTCTTATTTTTTTATCTCAGATGACAAAGTAGCGTAAACAAGTCGTAACGGGAGCATTATTGGACAAAGCACACATCAATTCGTCTTTTTTATATTTTATTTAATTATCATTTAGATTCTTTCTTAGGCAACAACTTGGAATGCAATTCATTACATCCTTCTCGGCAATGCTAAGCAGTAACTCTTAAAAAACTATTCCTTAATGTACTAGATTAATTTTGGATTTCACAACATACTGTTCGTAAAGCTATGGAATAATAGTACGATGCAATTTTTGAACTTTCAAGGGTGCTGGTATTCACGACGCACTAGAGAAATACGGGATTTTATATTGCACTGAAATAGTACTAATATTCATTATATTTTAATTCAAATTTTAATGTTACAACTTTAAATAAATAATTTTCACTGAAACATAAATATTAAAGGGGACCATATTTCCTCGATTAGATAAAAAACAGTATTACTGATGGTTTTAATTTTGAGTTTCTTTGAATTTTTAATTCACAGAAGGCTGTTCGTCTATCCTTTTATTTATTTTTTTGCGTCAAAAGAAAATGGACTGAAACATATTCTGCGACGACTTCGAAGTGCACTTTCCTAAATCGAGAATTATTTCAAAAAGAACAGAGCAATTTGTCTTTTTTTTATATTTTATTTATTATTTAGTTTCGACTTGAATATTTATATGGAAGAAAATTAAAATACAATCCTTAACGCACTTCTTGTTAACGTTTTAAGGTCATGCTGGAATTCACAACAAACTATTTGTTAATGTACTACATTAATTCTGGCTTACTTAGCTTGGTAAAAATATACTATAACACATAAAGTACATAAAGTACTAGTCATAACACATAAAGTATACACATAAAGTACTATTCATACAACACATAAAGTACTATTCATAACTGGAATAATAGGGATGTACTAACGTTCCGGTGTACTGAAGTTCATATCGAACTTTAACGAAGAATTTATAATGTATAAAAATAGTACTGGAATTTATAATGTACAACTAAAATATTTTCATTCAAATTTTTATACTAAAACTGAAAATAAAATAAATCATGTTCACTAAAATATATGTATTAAATGTGACCATCTTTCCTCAATTGAAAAAAAAACAATCAACAGGCTATATTGTATTACTGATCGTTTCTATTTTTAGTCCCTTTGAATTCTTAATTCCCAGAAGGCTGTTCTTCTGTTCTTTTGTTTTCTTTTACGTCAAACGACAATGAACTTGAAGATATCCCGCGACGACTTATTAGACTTCGAAGCACGTCCCTAACTAGTGAATTATTTCACGAGGCACACACCAATTCCTCTTTTTTTTTTATATTTTATTTAAGAATTATTTAGTTTCTTCCTGAATCCAAAAAGCGAAAAGAAGTTAGAGTATAATTCTTCGTTTCTCCTTCATCGATTCAGAAATTCTTTTACGAAAAAGAATGGGACTTTCTGCTTTTATTTATATTTTTCCCCTTTTATTCTCTCGAAAGAAGGAAGAAAAAAAGGGAATAATATTTCTGGATGCATTACGTAAAGTAGATAAGAGTTGTTCGTTTGGAAGCAAATACATTTTTACCGCGAATATTTACTCCAATGGGTAATTAAAGATTTTCTTCTCTTGAAAGTTCGAGAACTTCTTTATTTTTGTAATTACTTTATCATTTCTAAGATGCTTTCATCTTTTTTTTTTCTTTTGAAGATCAGAAATGTGCACTTTTTGCTCCTCTCGAAAGGCCGACTGCAACTCAAGTACTTTGAATAATTAATATTTTTTTAAATTCATGATTAATGATTTTATACATTATGATGAATTGCTAGAAGCCTTCATTTGCTTAAAATGAATTTTGAATGCTCTATAAATTTTAAGTGCAAACTAATATTTTATGGTTTGAAAATGAAAAAAGCTTCATTCCTCAATATTGCAATTTTTAATCACCCAAAAATTAATCACACATTATATTGATTTTATTAAAATATTAAAAAGTATATAGTATGATAAGGATATAGTATAATAAGTATTTAGTAAGGTACTTATAATACCATATCCCTCTGTTCACAAAATAATAATAATAGTAGAGTATTAACTGTAAGTCAACAAATATTTATTTTCTTTATTTTCACTTAAGCAATTATGTCGCATTTTTTTATTTGTGAAAAGCCAGGTTCCGGAGTTGGTATTATATATTCAAAAGAGGAAAGTATAAATTAAAATGTATCCTTTTTATTAATTGAATTTCTTCGATTCCAAGTTTAATGGGAATGAAAATTAAAACCTTCCCGCGGGTAAAATTTATTTATAGAGAATTCAATTATTTTGTAATTGAATGTTAAAATGTCAAACGATGAAGAATTAAATCTGTAATACTAGAACTGCTTCATCAAGAAAGGTTCTTTTCTTTACAACCACTCCCCGACCTTCAACTGGTCAGCGGTCATCGAACATTTAAATAAAATTCTGCATATACTCGGTATTTGATAATCTAGATATACTCGGGCAATTTTAATAGTGCGTGACATCCATAAACAAAAAACACATTTTTTTGTCAACTTTAGCAAATAAATTTCATAAATAAATCATTATTAATCAAAAGAATCATTGTTACAATGGGGGAGGGGAGATTAAACAGTCACTGTTTCCATAAAGTGTTATTTTTATTTCTCTATATAAAACGAAATAAATACCATAAAACTATTTTTTATCGTTGTCGGTGTATTTTTTTTCTTCTGAAAATCAGGTGGTTGATCTAGTTTACTCATATAAGATCCTGATAATTATGACTGTCATCAGCATAAAATTAATTAAGATATCAAGGTACTGTTTTGCAGTCATATTTACTTCATTGGCTTCCATTCTTAGTATTATCAGCTATTATTACTCTTTTTGGTTTTAAATATCCTTTCAAATGAAAGGCTTATCATCTTTAAAAGGGGTATCTTATATTAACGAATTCTATGATATTATCTTATACAAATTTTTTTCTATTATAAACATATTTAAATTGATATCCAAATTTTTTAAACCTTTTGCAATTGGGTACTTGCACTTCAAGAAGAAGAAGAGCCATACATGTGACCTTATGACGTCAGCGCCAGCTGCTCTTGAATTCAATTAAATGAAAAAATCGATTAAAAAAGTCTTTGTGCCAAAGATCTTCGATAGTCGAAATAGAAGCGAAGGCCAAAACTGTTATAAAATAGATATTTCATCACTAATCCTCCAACTCAATGATTCACTGTTTATTATTTAAGTCAATAGATGGCGCCGTTTAATTATTAATGTATAACTTTTAATAAGTTTCTCTCCACTACTCACCTGTCTTGTTAAAAGCATTCACTTATTTTTACTAATTATGTTTATTTAATAATAAACTCGTATTTTAAAAGGCAATCTGAAATTTTTAGTAAATGCTTCAATTCATTGAGTAAGTCACACTAGGTAGTACTAGGTCACGCTGGAAAAGTAAACAATACTTACCTCTTCTATCTTTTATTCACATAAGTGCATGATTACCAACAAAAACAACTATGGCTCGAATCTGTGGAATCAGATTTAGAGTGATTGTTGTTAAAGACTACTAAGAGAACAGGTTAAAATTGTCCTGGAAGTGATCTTCAGCAGAAGGCCTTGACCCACTCTGGGCTGAAAAGCCTGATAGTGTGATGAATATCGATTCATATGTGCACTACGCCACCACAGTTTAGTTTGGGAAAACAAGTTCCTGCTCTCCGCACCACGCTTTCTAACTGGCCGAAAATTCTCAATTGAGAGCTGTTTCTTCATTGATTGACATAGTGTAAAAAGCTGATTTCCTTAGAAAGAAGAAACGGCGTATTTCGACAATTAAAATGCTAAAATGAACTCCAAAACATAAAATAAGTGTTCGTTCGTCTGGCATGATACATCACATCAAATATAACTTTTAAAAGAAGCTTTGAAATATACATTTAGAGGTTATACGAGAGAAAAAATAATAACTAAAACTCATCGAGCTTTTCAAAAGTATCAATTGAGACGAAAGCCAGCATGGAATCCTTAGTAGTATAATTACATTACATCCGGCATCATTAGAAGGGCATCAAAATCACATCAGGGTGTTC